GAAAAGTCACTCAAACAATAAATTCCCTCTAATGTTGTTTTATATGAGCTTCAGTGTGTCAACTGCAGGTTTTGTTTATATAAGCTCAAAAGCAAGCTTCCTAAATCTTTGAGTCAAAAGAAATGTCAAAATATTGGGGCAAGTAAAGAAGCAGAGATTGTGAGTGATTGTGCCAAAAGAGAGTGGGTTTACATATTAGAAACAATTATCATAAAAATATTCACAAAATAGAGGACTAATTCCTGATTATTTTTGTAATTATGATTGGATAAGGTATCCAGTCAACAACCACCTGGCTCTATATCATTAATAAAAATGAAACATAAATAAGACAAATCTTTAACAGTACAAATCACTACTTTGTTCTGCAACACTTCTTAGTATACAATTACTATCTGATAATAAGCACTACTCATCTTAATAGAAATAAGGATGTTTTTCCTGAGAGATCTCATTTTTACATATAAGATTCAATTATCTACTACATATACATTTATCAGCATTCTAGAAATAAAATAAACAATATTTGGAACTGATTAAATATTGGAAAACAGTACATTCTCCTGAAAGAGAAGTTAATTGCTTACCAAGAATTCACCATAATACAAATTTGTAATAGGCATAATAAAAATAATGCTCTGCAAGGAAATCACAAATCACAAATATGCCTACTGTATTACATTTCATTAAAAAAAGAATAACTCACCCACTTCACAAGTACTATTGTCTGTTTTCACATACCTTCCCCAAGAGTTTGCCTCTTCAGACTAAGAAACAAGGAATCAAATCAGATGATTTCAATAAGTGTGGATGAACTAATTTTAGTGCCCCCAGTATAGCACAGATTGACTTTAAACATTAGTGTCTGACTATTTTTTCAGGTTGGGCTGTTAAGTCATGCCTTGATTTTAGATCTGCCAACACATGGATTCTTCTACTTCAGTTCAGCCTCCCCCATTTATCATCAAGAGTGATATACTTCTTGTTCTATTTCCCCCACCATCTCCCCCTGCTCCCTTATAAAAAAAAAAGGCACTGCAGGGCAGAAATTCTTCAGGTGCTTGCTAATGGAATTCCCAGGGTCTATGAGCCGCTTCGGGGATCAAGAGATCTCATAGCTCCCGCTGGGGTAAGAAGCAGCGAGTCTGTTCCATTTAATCAAATACAGAATGAATTTTCAACCCTATTCACTAGGTTGTCTCCAGGGCTCCAAAAAAACACCAGGGAGCTAGAATCACACTAATGTGGCTCTTTCAGGCAAATATAATTAGTTTGATTTTAAAAGAGCCACATTAATATCACCTCGGTCCTATTATCAGATTGTGAATGATAGTGATACTCTATGCTTTAAGCTTGAAAAACTGAAGGATAACTGAACATGAATCATGCAAAATGCTATACGTTTTGCACTGAATGTTTCTTATTATACTATACTGCCTGGTTTCATTTTAACAGCAAGGTAGTTAGTCATGGTTAGCTCTTTGTGTATTAACAGAAACCAGCAGTGATTCCTTTTTTCCCTTTACAGCTTCTCTTTTAAAATAAAATCCCCCAATAATAGGGCTCATATGAAATGCTGCATATTTATACCTTGAACTTCTGAATCCCTTAAAATGCAGAGAATTAGTCCTAAATAGTTTTCAGTTATCAAAGTACAGCTGTCATTTATACACAATAAAATATAGCACTTAGCATATGCATAATAAAACTAATAGAAATGAGTTCATGCTTTATACTACCGTAGATGCAAAAACAGCTCTATATGAATTTAATATCACATGGAAGAAATGTAGAATTATAAGCCTCCCACCAGGAATTCAATATTGAATTCCCTTGACTTTTACAAAAGTAGCACGGCTGTTTTATTCCACTGTATACAAGACCCAGCCACTACTGTATTATTAAACTTGTCAAAGCATGCTGTCTAAACAAAATCAATTTCATTATTTCAAAGTCAAACCACCTGCAACCATGGCCAGTGTGATGAAAAAAAACAAACTAGAACAAAATCCAATTTTGGAGAAGAGGATTTTTTTTACTTTATACATTTGAATTATATTAAATATCAGCCAAAAATGAAATTAAACTCATAGCTGTAATATACCTGTTACAAGCAATACAAGTGTCAAGATAGAGTATGGCTGTAATCAGAGATTTCAATTCTGTTTATGAGAACTGACCCTCCCCCCACCATTCTCTCAATCTTGTGTATTTTTGATTAATATGCTGAAAGCACTTAACACAAGGAATATTCTTATGTAAACCCACAAATCAAAATGAATTATGTTGATGATTTATTGGATACAAAGAAACTAAAATTTCCTTTTTAGATTTGTTTTTCTTTGCACACAACTTTTTGGACACTATGCAATTTTGACATGTGTATAACAGATAGCAGTAATGCAATTTGATCCTACTAAGAATGTTCTCTAGTTGAGCAGCACATAAAAACAGTTAAAGTTTCCAGACAAAATGTGGTGTTTCATCTTCGCCCAAATAAAAACCTCCCAACATATTGCTGCTATAAATACTCTTTAAGAAAAACAAGATGCAGCTTACAATTTCACATTCAAAAAAAACTTTGCCAAAAGTTAAACAGTTTGAAGTTGACAACTGAGCCTTTCAATCATGTTTCTCATTGAAGTGCCAGGCACTGCCTTTGGTTTTATCAAAAGCAACTTTCTGATCAAATCAATATCAAAAGGACTGCACAGGATCCAATTATCTGCTTCTTTTTAGGATTTTGTTATGGAAATGAAGTTTCATCCTCCATAGTAAACAGAAACAAATTCCAGCTAACACAAGGTTATTCTATTTCTCACATGCCTCTGGAGTAATGTTAGCGCTGAAGTAATTTCTAGATTTAAGAAATAACTTTTCAATATGATGCATGAACCAAAAATGGATTATGATAAACTAAAGAAGGAAAAAACAAATTTTGATATCAAAAGTTCCACAACAGACTATTCACAAGGACACAGAACATAAAAAGCAATGGCTCGCACAGGTCAACTTATGGTAGGAAATAAATACAAGGGGATATACATACAGAGTAATTAACTCATCTCCGATTCTGTCAAGGAAACAAAAGCTACACATGGGTTAAGAAACAGTAAAGCAGCGTCAACTCCCTTTCATACATACTGCCTGATTATGTATAGGAAGGAGGAAGTAACAGCAACTCCTGACAAACTCCAGTGTTATTTTGCATATGCACTTTGCACTGCAACAGAATTGCACACACAAGAGTGTGCTCAAAAACAGGTAACTGTTCTTTTTGCTCTCCCTTTTAAACTTTAGGGGAGCAGATGTTTTGGCATCAGAAAAACATCACTTTTAACTCCTTCCTTTCAATGTCCTAGGATTTATAGAAAGGGGGGAAAAAGCCCTTCCCATTCCATTTAGTCTTCCATGGGTACTTATGTGCACATCTGAATGGCCCTATGAAGAATTATCACAGTTGGCACTCCTTGCATTTCCTTTCCTTTTGATCTTCCCTATGATTAAGATGCAACTATGGGTGCAAACCGACTGGTCTCTTGGGACAAAGCAATAAATGACCTGCATTATATCCCAGAAAAACTACCCTTCAAGATGCTTGCTAGTCTTTTTAAGATGTCAGAAGAATTTTAGGTTGATTTTGTTGCAGAGGTTCAAACCCAGCTCACTCTCTGCAAGCCGTAAGGCTTAAAGAAAGCCCTTGGGGGGGCTTTACAACCCACCCACCCCCCACCCGACAAAAGCTCCCCTTTCTCTTCAGGCTCAACAATCGCGATCCTAAAGAGAGATGCGCCCCTAGAATATCGCCAACCCATTTCTGAAAAGACCAAGAGAAGTTTCGGATACCCAAAAAGTTGGGGAATTCAACGCGGAGTGGGGGGGTGGGGGTGGGGGGGGGGGGGGGAGAAACGATCATAAAACTATCTCCCAAGGGGCCAGGGGCCTTTTCTCCCCCCCCCCCCCCCAACCACCCCTTCGCCAAATGGATGTCACCAACCTTGCTGCAAGCGGGGATGAAAGCTGGCCAGCCTCCGCCAGCCCGTGGGTTTCCACGAGAACGCCCGTGGGAGGATTTCACTCAGCCACCCCCACCCCCCATTCCCCTACCTTACAAGTCCTTTAGGGTCGGAGTTTGCACGAGCAAACACACCTACACACCCACCCTCCTCACACCCACACACCCAGAGGGAATGGCAGGTCACTTTTCTCCCCCACCCCCCAATTGCAAGACCCGAAGAATGTAAACAAGGTCGGGCAACCCACGAGACGAGCATCCCTTCCCCGCGCTTCGCCATCCCCCGACACGCGTGTTCCAAGAAGCCCGTGGGCGCGTTCACACGACCTTGGAGCGCTTCCCGCGTCCCCGATGCCCCCGCCGCCTGCCAACCCAGCAGGGTCCTCTCCCCCCCACCCTACCCCCTCACACCTCTCAGCCGCCGCGGCGCTGGCTGCGCCCAGAGAGGCTCCGCTCCCGCTCGACAGACGCTCCCCAGGACATTCCAGTGAGAACCGGCGAGGCGGACGGGAGCCTCCATCCAACACCGACCGGCCGACCCAGCAGAACGATCCTGGTCCCCGTCCTGCCGCCGCCGCCGCCGCCGCCGCTCAGGGCGAAGCTGCCTCACGCGCTGACGGACCGACGGGCTGAGGCGACGCGCGAGCCACCGAGCCTGCGCGCCCGGCTCGGCTACAGGGGCCCGCAGCGGAGGAAGCCCCGCCCATCACTCGCGTGCACGGCCGCGCTCACGCGCCCTCCCCAACCGCCGCCTCTCCCCTTTCTCCTCCCTCTTGGCCTACTTCAAGCCGAACTCGCGTCCGGGCCCCGCCCTCAGCTCATGCTCAGCCAACCGGCGCTGTCCTTCCAGGTCTCTCGCTCCTCCCACTTCTTTCACCCTACCTACCCGTCCACCCCCAGCTTCTCTATATTGGTTTGGATGGAAATATACCAACGGAGGTGAAAAGCGGGAAGGGGAAGGGGTGAGGATGGGGCAAAGTGGAGTAGGCGTTCGGTCTCCGACCGCTAGTACAACATAAGTAGCGTGAGAAGAAATACCTGTGTTTTTTTTTAAAGGACGCGAGATAGATTATGCAGAGGTTCCAAGATTGGCAACTTTTAAGATTTGTGGACTTCAATTCCCACAATTCCCCAGTTAGCATGGCTGGCTGGGGAATTCTGGGAGTTGAAGTCCACAAATCTTAAAACAGCATCCCTAAGGATAAGTGGTAAGTAAAGCCTAAGAAGAACCTAGTTTGAACTTAGACTTTGCCTTTAAGAAAAGGAGGAGGGTGGGGTTATTTTGGCTCCAGAAGGTCTAGTAATTTGATCAATGGAATATTACTTTTATTTATTTAATTAAATTTATATAGCCTGGTTAAGATTTGAAATATCTGAAATGTGGAGGAATGGTTTTAATGGCTTAACTTTAAATATTCCCTCAGCTGGGTCATTATATTTCTAATATAATTAGATGCTTCTAATAATGTTTCTAACTAAATATTTCTAATGTTTAAGGAGGTTTCTTAACAATAGGAAGAGATGACATATAAGCAACATAGAAGCTGTATTCAAACACATTTAACTCCACCATTTAAAAGACTAGAAAGCTGCATTTGCACCAGTAGTGGGTTGCCCCTGGTTTGCACCGATTCTATAGAACCGGTAGTAAAACCGGTGGGAGGCTCCACCCACCAACCCCGACGTCATCTTCTGCTTGCGCAAAAGAGCGAGCGCGAGAGAGAGCGAAGCAAGCACACACGTGCGGCCCCGTTGCAAACAGGTAGTAAAGGTAAGTAGAACCTACCCCCGATTTGCACACCACTAAATAATAATAAAATATATCAGTACATGTAGTCCTTGTCTTACAGCCACAGGGGCTGGAATTGCTGAATGATGCAGTCATGACTGCCTGATTTTACCACTATTTTTGCCACAGTTGTTAAATGAGTCATTAAGCAAATATTTATTTATTATTTATTTATTACATGTATTTATATGCCGTCATTCTCCCGAAGGACTCAGGGCGGCGAACACAAGTTAAGAAACAAGTACAATAAAATCATAATTTAATCCAAATAATTAATTAGTAGTAAATAATAAAGCCTGGAATCAGTCTCAGCCTATTTGTTTGAAAAGCCAAGTCTTCAAGTCCCGACGGAAGGAGCGGAGATCAGGAGCCGCTTGGCTTCCTCCACTGATTTTACTTCTGGCAAATGGCAGTCCTCTGACTCTGGGATGGTGCAACCATCATAAATACAGTCCAGTTGCCAAATACCATAATCACAATCAAGTTACTTTGAGGATAGTGTAACAATCATAAGATTGTTACACTAAGACCATGAGAACTGGTCATAAATCTCTGTTTTCACCACAGTTGTAACTTCAAACGGTTGCTAAACAAATGGTCATAAGGTGAGCACTATGTGTAAAAGTCTGCTGGTCAGCCCCGGAATACTGACCTGTTACAATCTACTGTATGACATCTATAAAACTGAGTTAAAATACATTTACCCTCAGCAATATAGAATGCCGTGTCAGAGATTCCGTTTTACTTCTGATGCCTCTGGAGACCACAGTGGTGAAATGCATAACAAATGCTAAAATTAAAAATAACCCAATGTGATAAATTAATAAAACCACATGTTTAAAAATTAGAAATCTGTCCCCAGGAGAGGAAGAAATTTTAAAATGATTTTACGTAACCGGTTCTCTTTGCAGCTGTAAGGAAGGTGCACTGACATCTTTTTCATGAGAAATATATATATATTTTTAAAAAACCCTACTTTTCACAACTTACTATTTGCGCTATTCTATTATGCTTTCTGGGCATGCTTTTCATATCCATGTATTGCAAAACATTTTTATTCCAGAGAAATACTTGTGTTTTCCTCCCCTTTGTAGATGGAAATGCTCTCAGTGTGTCCAGAATGCTTTCATTTTAATCCTGCATTGTGGATTGAAGCTCCATCACTTTTTTAAAAAAGTCCACTTTTCTTAACTCAAGGCAGCGAACATACCTAATACTGCTGCCACCTATTTTTCCCACAACAACTGTCCTGCAGGGTAAGCATGCCCAAATGGCCTTTGCATTTTGTGCAGTGTTATGCAGAATCACAGAGATGGCTTGGGAGAAACTATGCAGAGACAGTTAGAAAAACATGTTTTCAATCCTGAGGAACAAAGAGAAAAAAAAAAAAAAAAACTCAGATTGGCTCTATGTTTTCCTGAGTTGGCCTGCCCCAAAGGGCTAAGGCAGTGTTTTTCAACCTCAGTAACTTTAAGATTTTATTTATTTATTTATTGGTTCGATTTATATGCCGCCCTTCTCCGGAGACTCAAGGCGGCTTACAATGCGTTAAGCAATAGACTTCATACTTTTGTATATACCTGCTTAGTAGGGCTTTTGGCCCCCCTAAGCGGTGTTCTTTTTTATACAAAGTCAGCTTATTGCCCCCACAATCTGGGTCCTCATTTTATCTACCTCGAAAGGATGGAAGGCTGAGTCAACCTTGAGCCTGGTGAGATTTGAACTTGCAGTAATTGCAGGCAGCTGGTGCTACTTAACAGCAGTTTAGTCTGCTGCGCCACCAAGGCTCTTAAGATATATAGATTTCGGGTCCCAGAATTCCCCAGCCACCATGGCTGGCTCAGGAATTCTAAGCGTTGTCCATACATCCTAAAGTTGCCAGGTTTGAGAACATTTGATTCAGTGTCCCAGTGTCCCATATGTTAATGTTGAGTGCAAGATAACCATCTTCATTCTCCCTGTCTTTATTTTCCCTTCCCCTTCCTGTGGTTCAGGCTGTTTCACAAGAGATGGTTCTCTTTTGCTAGACCTCTGAACAGATGCTTAGCAGAATATTTAGAAAACAGTGATCTGCAGGGCTGTCTACCTCTGCTTTTGCTTAGTGATGCAGATGGAGAAGGTTGATGTCCTTCCGAAAAGTCAAATGTGATTAGATTAACTACCATTCAGCTATCAAATCAAGTTCATCTTATTTCTGCAATTCCTCTAGTACTCAGTATCTTACATTTCCAAATTAGGTATATCTAACTAATCTCTAATTCTGTTGTACCGCATTGTATATACTCCTGAATAAGTTTATTGGGAATTCCATTCTTACATTTTCCTCATTATATTAAACCATAAAATCTTATCCTAGAATCGCCACGTAGCACGAAAAGTTCAGATTTTAAACGATTTAGTTTGTGTGGGTATGATTCACATGGCTGTGTTTAGAATGCACTTGACTGCTAAGGGTTTTTTAAGATTAACAATAAACATGAAATAATGGACGGTCACATTTTACCCATCCAAAAGGAAGACAGATTGTAGGTTGTAGCATGTTTGGCTGACTTTCCAGCCTTCTAAAAATAAGCATTTTGCAAGGATTAACGTCACCAGACAAAACAAAAAGTCTTCACTGTGGACTTTTTATATTGACATTAGCAGGGAATTGAAAATAAAAAGTTCAAGTTAAGTAAAACATTGAATGCAATGAAACCATTTCAGTGCCTCACTTTCACCTCTTCTGGATTTTGAAATAAAACATGGAATATTAGAGAAGAGGGAGTTTTAATAAAGTATTTAAATTCCATCCAGATAATTTTCTTATCGCAATAGCCTTATTTGCAAAAGACATTTATTTAAAGTATTCAAAGGTAAGGTTATGTCACCTCACCTCCCTAACAATTAGTGAATTATTTAAGCATTTCTCACAAGCTGGTAGACGAAGAAAATTCTTGCATTCAAAAGTTTTATTTCTTGCAATGTTATCCAACCAGTTAGCAGATAATAGAGTTCCTTCTGTCCTTAATCAATTCTCCCAAAGGGAAAGCAATATGGCTCTGTCTTCTTTTCTACAACTATCAATTCTGACAGTCAGTGTTTTCCAAACTTGGTAACTAAGATATCTGGACTTCAACCCCTAGAATTCCCTAGCCAACATGTTGAACAGGGAATTCTGGGAGTTGAAGTCCACACATCTTATAGTTGCCAAGGTTGGACACCCCTGCTCTATATCCTCAAATTTTGGGGGACCTCTATGGAGAAACAGAGGGTTGGAATAGATGACCTCCAAGGTCCCTTCCAACTCTGTCATTCTATGTTCTATTTTCTGAATCAACCTTCAGGTCTACTAGAAGGAAACTACATTCCAATCTATCTGGTTGTAAATCTGGTTGTATTGTTGTTACTTGCATCTGGTTATCATCCTTGGGTTGATTTAAAACCATTGTTATTTTATCAAGCTTTTAATCCAAATTTTCAAATTGGATTTGTAAGTTGAAAAGTTTTCTTTTTTTCCCAACCTTCCCCAAAAGCTTTGTTTTTAAACTGATATATTGCTTGCATTTTGACTGTATTTTAATATGGTTCAAGATACTTCAATGATTAAACTTTTACAGCTGAACACAGCCAGTCATGGGGGAACTTTTACAGCCAGTCGTAAACAGCTCCTCTCAAAAAGAGAAGCACCGTAGCAAATTAACCTCAAATTAACGCATTGTAAGCCGCCCTGAGTCTCCGGAGAAGGGCGGCATATAAATCAAATTTTTTAAAAAAAGAACTTTACCACAATGAGAGATCCCTTAAACCAGGGCTTCCTAAATTTTCCTTTATTACCCCAAACCTATTATCAGAAAATCTTATTGAACTGGATGATGGGAATTCTGGGAATTGAAGTCCACAAGTCTTCAAGTTGCCAAGATTGGATATCCCTGGTATGGAGCCAGATATTTGCTAGAAATGCACTGCAATGACCATATCAGCCTCCTGTATAGCCTTCATTTAATGTGGCTTCTTGCCTCTTCACAGAGACAGTTGTTTTATTATGGCAGAGATTAGGACTACCAAAGGACCTGTTCTAATCCAGTTTCCCCATCAAGATGCCTTCAATACCCCAGCATGGTGTTTTCTCATCCATCTATCCTTCTGACCGAGTCTTTCTTCCTTCTTTTCCTTAAGGAGAGGGTAGTCCTGCTGATAGTGAAAACCCAAGCAGAGATGCTAAAAAAGCCAGATCACAATGCAATTTTCCATGGTCTCTGATTAAGGATTCTTTCCTTCTCACTACCTACCTATCCGCTGGAGAGCAGGGGAGAGGTTGTATAATCTCAACACGCCATTCAGTTCACCTCCATTCTTTTCTTGTACCTGCATTCCTGGATGTGTGTGCTTCCCATCTTGCATTGATTTCAACTGGATTTGTCAGAAGCTTAACTCCAGAGCTAATTAGCACCCTAGAAAAACTGTTTCCCAACCACCATCCCCTCTTCTCACTACAGGACCTTCAAAACTTTTTTTTAAAAACCTTGTGATTAAAGTTAGACGCCTTGGGGTAACACATCCTTCTGCATTCTTGGAGAATTAAACAAGAAAGGAGGAGGGGAGTTGGAGAAACATCCACATTTCTTTAAGCCTAAGGGTGGGTGGAGGAACAAAACAAAAATCGAAGGCTAAAGAAAGGGAACTTAACACTTCTAGAAAGTTAAATCACTTAACTTGGCCTGACCTGTCCCCAGGAGACAGGAAGTTGAACCAACTGGCTTCTTTGGCCCCATGCTTTGAGATTTTGTTTTGATCGGGGTGGGGTGGGGGAAGCTGGGGGAGGAGAGGAGGACTTGCCTTTTGACACCCCCAGCTCTATTTCTGCAATGCATTGAAAGGAGTAATACAAAAATCTGAAAATCGCCGATAAACCCGTATCCTGGGAGTGAAAGGGATTTGCAAGTTTACTGAGTCATTTTCCAGGATTGCAGCCCAAATATTTATAAAGAGCACCAACTTTCTTTCCTAAGGAATTTTGCTTGGCTGGATTCATAGAGCATGAATTAATTCATGATGTGGTTTGTTTCAGTGTTTGACCAGAGCTATTGTGGAATGAGGGCCATGCCCACAATTTCTAGTTTAGTATGCTGTGTGATTCCAGAAGTGGAATTGATTTAATGAACTGTGATAAAACAAATCATGATTTGATAAGACATATGAAGACAGTAATATGCATTGATTGATTGGTGGATTGTGTGGTTGAGTCGTTTTCAACTCCTAACAACCAGGTAGATTTTCTACCTGATGATCTATTTCTAACCTGTTCTTTTAGGATTTCTGATGGTTCACTCATCATTGCTATAGTTGAGTTTACAAAGCCCGCCTTGCTGATGGTCATTCCCTTCTTCCATTTCCTTCTATCTTTCCCAGCTTCAAAGTCTTTTTTATAGAGCTGGGTCCTTGCATAATGTGTCCAAAATAAGATAATTTGAACTTGGTCATCTGTGCTTTGATCCTAAAAGGCAGAAGCTATTCACCACTGAATCTTAATTCTGGGAGTCAGCTCTATGGCTGGTTGTTCTACTTGTTAACTTTAGTTTGGTTTTCTTTATACTTGATCTTAGTCCCAATTTTTTTTCACTGTGTTCTTTAACTTTTAATACTAACGTTTGCAGAGTCTTTGAATATTCAGCTATCAGGGTATTGTCATCAGCATAATGCAAGCTATTGATGTTGATGTTCATACGACTTACTTTATTATATTATTCTTGAATTTATTACACTTGATCTTAACTAAAAGGCCAAGAAGCTATTTATTCATTTATTATATTTGTGTTACACTTTCTCTGAGAATTCAAGGTAGTTTTTTGGAGAAGGGGGATCCATCTTAACTACATGTGGTCACCGGTTGTAAATGGGGGATTGCCTGTATTTGATTTTGGATTAGCACAATGGTTGAGCTATGTAACCCAGACTGCTACGTTTTATTTAACAAACTATGATTGAAACTGTCCAGGACATAGTAGGCGGTATGAACCCAGACATTGAGAATCAGGGTTGTGAAAAATTACACTTGGATTCATCCCAGGTGAATAAGTCCTAATACAGATGTGGTCTTGTTAACTAACCAACTCTTTCCCCCTTTTTTTGATTTTGGTGACTCAGGAGGAGTTTAATACTGAGAAGCCTGTTAGGTTCATTACAAAACCTAATTAGGTGAATGTTTCCTAACTGTTAACATAGACACCTTGTGTAAGATTTTTATACAAATACGTGAAGTGTTAGTACCACTTTATAATGCCTTGGTAAGACCACACTTGGAACACTGTCCAGTTTTGGTGACCACACTATAAAAAAAGATTTGGGACTCTGGAAAGAGTGCAGAGAAAAGCAACAAAGATGATTAGGGGACTGGAGGCTAAAACATAGGAAGAACAGTTGCAGGATTTGAGTATGTCTAATTTAATGGAAAGAAGGACTCAGAATGACATGTTAACAGTGTTCCAACATCTAAGGGGATGCCACAAAGAAGAAGGAGTCAAGCTCTTCTCCAAAGCACCTGGAACAAGAAGCAATGGATGGAAACTAACCAAGGAGAGAAGCAATCTAGAACTAAGGAGAAGTTTCCTGACAGTGAGAACAATTAACAGCTTGCCTTCAGAAGTTGTTGGTGCACCAACACTAGAGGTTTTAAAGAAGATAAATTGGACTGCCATTTACCTGAAATTGTATAGGGTTTTCTTCCTGAGCAGGAGATTGGATAGAAGACCTCCAAGGTCACTTCCAACTCTGACATTCTGTTAAAAGAACTAAGACAAGGAATCAGAAGCCCTCCAGATATTGATATTAATAGCAATACCAATAGCACTTAGACTTATATATCACTTCATAATGCTTTACAAACATTAAGCTCCTCCCCAAGCAGTTGACAGAGTCAGCATATTGCCCCCAACAATCCAGGTTCTCAGTTTACTGACATCAGAAGGACGGAAGGCTGAGTCAACCTTGAGCCAGTGAGAATCGAACTGCTGGCAATTGGCAGAATTAGCCTGCAATGCTACATTCTAATCCCTGTGCCACCACGACTCTTAAAAGCTAACTTATATTTTTTTCCAAAAAAGTTTTTATTTTTGTTTCTCATAAACGTGTTTACATGTACAGTCATTTATCCACCATTTTTCAGTCATCTTATCATTTAACTTTCATTTTTCATTTTTCATTATTAATTATTCGGGGCTGCTCTTTTACCATTTACCCTTCTTTATTTTGCCACAACCTTTCTTCTTCTCCTCCCCTTCTCTTCCTTCTTCTATCCCTTCCTACTTTCTTCGTTCTTCCTTTCCTTCTCTTTCCTACTTCCCCTTTCCTTCCCCCACTCCTTCTTCTTCCCCACTTCTAACCCTCTCTCCCACTCCTCTTTCCCCTCCCTTTCTTCCTCTCCTTTCCCCTTTCTTCTCTCTCTCTCTCCCTCTCCTCTCCTCTCTTCTCCCTTCCTCTCTCTCTACTCCTTCCCCTCTCTCTTGTTTCCTTTTTCAATTCAATCTAGAATGGTATTAGAGCAGCCCCGATTTTCTATTTGTCTCTATTCTCATTTCAATTTCTTATTTAATTAATAAATAATTATATCTATTTCATCATTTGTGTACATTTTTATAATAATCTCACTTTACCTAGGCATCATCTGGGTTTCTATTTTTCTGATTATTTTCTCCCATCTTTTCTCTATCTATTTTATCTCCATACCCGTATTCATATTCCCTTTCTAACCAATCATAAAATGTATCCCATATTCTGAAATACATTGAATCCTCTTTATATTTTATTTTCAGTGTTAATCTATTCATTTCTGCACATTCTAAAATTTTCTTTATAATTTCTCCTTCCTACGGGATTTTGTCTGCTTTTCAATTTTGTGCAAATACAATTCTAGCCGCTGTTATTATATGAATAATCACATTATGTATTTTCTTTACTATAATTCTCCAGTAAAATTCCCAATAAGCTTAAAAGCTAATTTATGAAGAGCTAACTCTGGATCTTGCTGCCTTCCTATGAGGTGATGGATGCTCATTTATCACTGTTCTGTATCACTGTATCACATGCATTCCGTTAACATGTATGTGCGCACACATACACACACACTGGGGAAAAATAACAATATATTTGTTTCATTTAACTGTAATTGCTAAATTTAGAGAGTATTTCTCAAAAAAAAAAAAGTAAATTCTATGTATATAAATGAGTCACTGACTTTACTTGACATCTTTTATATTTTCAGGCATGACAGTTCTGTGAATGGTGAAAATATTTTCCTAACAAGAGCTGGCAGTGCTTTGCTTCAGTTGGTTCTCTTTTCCAAAGGCAGCTTGAGGATTGGCACAGAAAATACAAAACTGGCAAGATTCCCCCCCCCTTTCTTTGAGATCATATCTAGAGCATGCTGTAACACAAAGCGTTTATTTTACAGTAACTGAATAAAGTATTGTTAGCTGTCCAAAACTTCAAGTAGGCTCGCAATCTGTTTTTTCTCGTCCTAATTCAGTCTTAGCTTCAATGTGCCCACATGCGTACAAACTCTCGGACGCATTTGCTATTGAGTCATCTTAATGCCTTTCTGTTCTCACCACCTCTGTTTTAGAATTTTGGCATAACATTATAAAGAAGCATGGAGATGTGCCAAACCTCCCCATTATAAATGTTTTAAAAATAAAAATAAAGTGACAATGCAAGCTTGTTACATATTTACTCCTAAGTAAGACCTATTGAGTTACTCCTGAGATTTGGGTCCTGCTTGCTAGATATTGATCTCATGTATTGAGGACAAGGTCTTGTAGAACCTTTATCCACTTTTTCCATGCTTTTCAAATTTTAATCTCATGTGGGACCCCCTTTTTTGTCTTTTGTCTAAATGGAACTGCTCGAAATGCTACATATTCTCCTTTGATTGTTTTGATGATCTTTTTCTAAACATTTTCTACAATATAATATGTTTTGGGACAGATATAGTCCAGTATTTTAACATTGGAGTATCCTATGATCACGTGACAACATTTTACAATGTTTTTGCCAAAAAAAAAAAAACAACAACCAGCATTTACTTCTGGTTTTTTGGCAAAAACGCCCCATAACAAATTATAAGTTCCCTTAATGACTGTGGTATTTTTTTTAATTTTTTTAAAAATTTGATTTATATGCCGCCCTTCTCCGAAGACTCAGGGCGGCTTACAATGTGTTAAGCAATAGCCCTCATACTTTTGTATATTTATACAAAGTCAGCTTATTGCCTCCACAATCTGGGTCCTCATTTCACCTACCTTAGAAAGGATGGAAGGCTGAGTCAGCCTTGAGCCTGGTGAGATTTGAACTTGCAGTAATTGCAGGCAGCAGATGTAAGTGGATGTTAATAAATGTCAGCCTCAGCTTTCCTGCTTTAGCTGCCATAAGAAACGGGGAGGATTAGGTATGGAGCAAACGGGGGGAAGAGAGCAGGAGGGGGTTTGTCTTTGTAGGAGGAGACTTCGTGGGAATCGAAACTGGATTTCAGAAGGGGATGGCTGACCAACTGTCTCGACATTCCTGATGGATGACGCTGCCAGACGTGTTGCCACCTGACCTTTGCAAGACCTTTAGATTGGCTGAGAAAATATAAACACGAGGGGGGAAGAAGCTTAGTAGATGCATTTCGCGCGTTTTGGTCACTTCCAGCTTTTCACTGGGGTGTTAATCTTTTCATATTCAGTAAAAGTACCAAATTCTTCAAAATGCTTGAGTTTGGGGTTTTCTTTCCTGGATACTGAAGGAAGCATACCTGACATTAAGCTGGAAGTCCTCTCAGTCATCCCGGACAAAACCGAGGGGACTGAAAATCCAAAGTATGTCAGATCGAGGGAGTGATGAAGAAGAAGATGGGGGCAGCGAGTTCAATCGCCCTCCAGTCGGAAGAGAAACTGCAGAATGGCTGGAAAAACTCCGTTTGGAACCGGAGGAAGCTAGATGGTCCAAAGGAGTGGGGAGACTGCCGGACTGGGGGGAGAATCCCCGGGGAGTGACGACTTCCAGACCCCGAAAAAGGGAGGCAGTGTGGATGCAACAGCAGAAGGAACGTCTCATGATAGATCAAGCCTTGCAGCTTATCCGTGATGTGGAAGAAAGCAGAAAAAACCGTGTGTCTTTTGAAACTCCTGTGGAGAAGGGGGAAGCAGACCCCAGGGGGGAGGCCGAAGAGACAGCCTGCGGGGGAGAGGAAGAGTTTGAGGAGGGAACATCCCAGGCTTCGGCAGCTCGAGGAAGAGATGCAGCCGGCCAGAGAACCCCAGCCCTGCAGGCCCCCCCCCGCAGACGTAAAAAGCCAAAAATCCCCCCCCTTCCTGGGAAGTTTGATGGAAATCCTAAGACCTTGGGATTTTTCCTGACCCAAGTGTGGAACCACATGCAGGATTGGGGGGAGGACTACGAAACGGATGCGGCTAAAGTCAGAAGCATTGTGAATGCCCTAGAGGGAGTGGCGGCTGAGTGGATGGTAGTTCTCCACAATAACAACTCCCTCCTGCTGAGAAATTACAACCAGTTCATGAGGGCCCTTAGAAGACGTTTTGAAGACCATTTAGCTGAACGAAAGGCGAGACTCAGAATGAAGAGCATTCAGCAGGGTCGGAGGCCGGTGGCAGAGTATATCCAAGAGTTTCGTGAACTGGCACCTTATATGACAGGCTGGTCAGAAATGGCGCTTTTGGAGAGTTTCAAGGATGGATTGAATGATGAGATATATCGAGATTGCAGGAGCATGGGGGTCCCCGATGATTTGGATAGATGGTACATAGTAGCTGAGGATGTGGAGATCGAGCTGAAATGGAGCGAACTCCGAGGAAGGCGGATGGGGGACCAGTCATCCTCTTTCTACCGTAAGGGGGCGGCCAAGATGACTGGCGGGAAGACCGAATTCAAACCCAAGTCAAAGCCCTTCACCTGTTTCAAATGTGGGAAGGAGGGTCACCGGGCGGCCGAATGCTTCTCCAAACCACCGTCAAAAGCCACTGGGCCAGCCAAAAGAAAAGCGATAAAATACCCGCCAAAACCCGCGGCACCGCCCTGAAAGGAGAAGTCGTTGAGTTCACTCCCCGGGACCAGCGTGAGTTGGGAACTCCGACCAACGATGACGACAGCGAGACGGACTCCGACTCGGACACCGATGAACGGGTGAGTCACACGGAAGAACCCTTACTCATCCCCGTAGAAGTAAGGGTGCCCTCCACAGGAACTCACGCGCAATTGTTAGCCCTGTTGGACTCGGGGTGCACTAGGTGCATAATTAGCCCCAAAGTAGTGGAGGAAATGGGACTGAGACTGAAAACTTTAAAAAGACCTATTGCATTTTGTCAATTAGATGGGTCGATTGCAGGAGGGGGCCCAGCTAGTTTTATGACCGAACCCCTTGAACTACAGTTGGGGAATCATATAGAAAAGCTCAGCTTTATCGTAGCACCTGGCATGGAAAGGCCCCTAATTCTAGGACTGCCCTGGCTTCGTAAATGGAACCCACGAGTAAATTGGAAAACGGGGGTCCTGCGCATCCATACGGCAGAACCACCTCCGGAAAAGGAAGGCCCCTCCCTAAGGGACGACATAAGACCAGAAGGGGCCGCAGTAGCCATTAACTATATTGAGGGAGAAGAGAAAATTCCAAAGGAATATTGGGACCTCAAGGAAGTGTTTAGTGAAAAAGCGTCTGATACTCTGCCTCCCCACAGGGCCACTGACTGCACCATTGAAATACTCCCAGGGGTGAAACTTCCCAAACCAAAAATATACCCCATGACACCTCGAGAATTGGAGGAAAATTGCGGAATTTTATGACAAAAACTTAGAACGGGGATTTATCGAACGAGCCAAACCCAAGGTAGCAGCGCCAGTAATGTTCCACGAAAAGAAAGATGGATCCTTCAGATTAGTTGTTGATTATAGAAACATGAACGCCATTTGCGTGGAAAATGTCTATCCCCTCCCACTTATGAAGGACATGTTGGCCCATTTAGGAAAGGGAAATTTTTTTACCAAACTTGATTTAAGAGAGGCATACTACCGAGTGAGAATAAAAGAGGGAGATGAATGGAAGACAGCATTTAATTGCCCACTGGGGTGTTTCCAATTTAGAGTACTCCCTTTTGGACTACAGGGGGCCCCGGCCGTATTCATGCAGTTGATCAACGAAGTGTTGCATGAGCATCTATATAAGGGGGTGTTGGTCTATTTGGACGATATTCTAATTTATTCTGACAACATGGCCGACCATATAAGATTGGTTCGAGCGGTCTTGAATAAACTCAGAGCAGCTGAACTCTATGCCAAACTTTCTAAATGTGAATTCCATCAAGACAAAATCGACTATCTTGGATATCGTATATCGCATGAGAGAATAGAGATGGACCCGGAAAAGGTCCGGGCAGTAATGGAATGGGCCGCACCACGCACCCATAAACAGTTACAGAGTTTCTTAGGGTTTGCTAACTTTTATAGACAATTTATCCCCTCTTTCGCAAAAATCGCACTGCCAATTACAAACTTGCTCAAAACCAAAGGGGAAATAAAACCCAAACTCGAAACCACTAGAATGGACTATGGACTGTCAGGCCGCTTTCGAAAAACTGAAACGGTTGTTTGCAGCTGAACCTGTGCTCAAACACCCCGACATAGAACAACCTTTTGTAGTACAAGCGGATGCTAGCGACGTTGCCGTAGGAGCGATACTCTTGCAAAAGAATGAGAATGGAATATTACAACCCTGTGCTTACACATCCCGTAAGCTATCTGAGACAGAAAGGAGATGGGCCATATGGGAGAAGGAAGCGTTTGCAGTTAGATGGGCGCTGTTAACATGGAGACAACTTTTAGAAGGGGCAAAACACCCTTTCGAGGTGTGGACTGACCATAAGAATCTAGAAGCATTAAAAACACCACGCAAATTGTCACCCAAACAGGCACGCTGGGCCCAACATTTCAAGCGTTTCAATTTCACTTTACGTTACCTTCCTGGGGGGAAAAAATTCATGGCAGACGCACTTTCCAGATTACCACAGTACAACAGCATAAAGAAGGAACTGGTTCAACCAATGATCCCCTTAACGCAATTGGCAACACCTGTCACTACCAGAGCGCAGAGTAAAACCGATCCAGAACTCTCAGGGGATTTACTCGAAAAGTTACGAGAAGCGCTAAAAGCTGACGAGTGGTTTAAAATCCACTCGAATGAATGCACACTTCGTGACGGACTAGCTTGGGTTGGATCAAAATTGTATGTTCCGACCACATTAAGACCAACCGTATTGAAATATGCGCATGATGCCAAAGCCGCAGGACACTTTGCGTTTGTCAAAACTTTACATCTTGTTAAGAGACAGTTTTGGTGGCCTGCACTAAAAAAGGACATACAGGCATATGTGGCTAGCTGTCCAGTATGTGCCTCGGCTAAAAGACCTCCAGGAAAATCCCCTGGATTACTGCAAAGTGTG